TGAAGTGTACCAGCTGCTGACCTCTGGTGTGATAAAAAGTATGAGTGTATGTAAAAGTGCAACATTTTCCATTACGTACGGTGCAGGATGTGTGATGCTGTGGGTCTCTCTTTTAGGTGCCATGGGAAATCTTTATAAATACACAACATCATGACTTTTTTAAACATCAGGATATTTCTATGAGATTAGACTTCTGGCATATTTACCTAAAGAAAAACAGCAAAACATTTGATCTAAATACTTTTTGATCCTTTGTAGGGAGCTGAAGAGAGGAGAGCAGAAAACAGGACCCTCTGCATTTCAAGGTATTTAGCCAAAGATTATTTTGTATATAAGCTACAATCTTGTGAAACAGGCAGGGGGGTGGGGGTACGATGCTTTTGTACAATGAAGTACAATAAGTGTACTTAGTTATTTCAGTCCCACAAAGCACTTTCAATTAAAGATTATTTCATTCATTAGCAAGAGTACAACGTAAAGGCCATTGACACTGTAGAAATCTGATAAAGATACAAAAATTGTATATGTTTTCATTTATGAAGTGAGAACAGTTAAAAAAGAATACACACATAAAATATGGTGACTTAAATTATTTTATTTGCATAGAACAAAGGCACAACTTAAGTGGTACAGTTTTTTGTTTTTTTTTATTTCCACAGTGCAATCATGTCAAGAATTTTACACCAATGTGGCTTAAAATACATTTCCTCCACCCAGAGCTGGAGATATTTTATCAGGTTTAGTCAAATAAACTGTAGCTTCTATTGTTGCCAAGCAGAAGTAAAACCACAACCTGTGCAGTGAGATGGTGCTGCTCGTTAGAGCCCTGCTGAGCCATGGGGGGGAGATTTGAAAACGCATTCAAGTCACATGAGCAGAAATTCCTTCATCTTGTGAATTAACAGCAGACGTTTTTGAAGGGATACAGCTACATAGTATATACCTCAGGATAATTAGCTTGTTTATTACCTATTTCCAGCTGTCTCTGAAGGTATATGATGAAAATACATTTTACCCCCAGGTAGAGTAAAAGAATGAATGCACTGTTGGCCGAATGTGTACCGTAATAGTCACAAGTGTTTCTCCGCATGATGGAAAAAGAAAAACATTGTCAAAACAATAGCAAATGCAGTAATATTGAAAATAACAGTAGAAAGCAGCGTCAACATGATGAGAGATAAAAGCAATTCCTCAGAAAAAATACTTTAAAACTAATAATAAAACCTTGATTTTATTTTTTCCACTTCAAATCAAGGTGAATAACATTAATCATAAATTATCCTAATTGGTCTGGAGTCAGCATTAGAAAGCTTTTAAAGTGCAAGCATATTTAAGAGCCTAAAAAAATTACAATTTATAAGTTCTAAAAACACCGTTTTCATTAAAAAATTAAAAATAAATATTTGGCCCAAAAAAAAAAAATATAATAATAATAATCAGGAATTTATCATCATAAGGATGTCATTAAAGCTCTACACCTATAATAACGGACTGTTTTTTCCAGATAAAAAGATAAAATTAATGGAAACGTCAAATTCATGTGTAGCTTATTAGCAACACAGGAATAAAATGGGTATACAGAGTATCTTTATGAACGGTGCAAAAATAGTGTGTGTTCTCCTTGAAAATTAACGAAGTTGGGGAAGATGATGACCATTACATGAGATAACATAATTAAAGAACGACATAAAGCAGTGCAAAAAGGACAAAACTCAGTTTATACTGTAAACAAGAGCCGGAAGTAAACAGCCAGACCATGGCTGATGCAGGTGTAATTTGTAGTGTAACGTTTATGATGTAAGGAAGTGTTTTGACAAGAGATTTTTTGACTACAAAACCTTATTGGTTATTTGATAACAATGTTTTACAGACACATAACGCTGGTTAACTCTTATGACTGAGAAATAGATGCTAATTAAAAGAAGAAAAATATGCTTGTATTATTTATATAAAGGACCGATGCCTATTCAGAGGTCTGGATGTCTATTCAGACGTCTGGGTGTCTATTCAGACATTTGAATGTCTATTCACACATCTGGATGTCTATTCAGACAGCTGGATGTCTATTCAGACATCTGGATGTCTGTTCAGACAGCTGGATGTCTATTCAGACATCTGGATATATATTCAGATAGCTGGATGTCTATTCAGACATCTGGATATATATTCAGACGTCTGGGTGTCTATTCAGACATTTGAATGTCTATTCACACATCTGGATGTCTATTCAGACAGCTGGATGTCTATTCAGACATCTGGATGTCTATTCAGACACCTGGATGTCTATTCAGACACCTGGATGTCTATTCAGACAGCTGGATGGCTATTCAGACAGCTGGATGTCTATTCAGACATCTGGATGTCTATTCAAACACCTGGATATATATTCAGACATCTGGATGTCTATTCAGACAGCTGGATGTCTATTCAGATATCTGGATGTCTATTCAGACAGCTGGATGTCTATTCAGACACCTGGATGTCTATTCAGACACCTGGATGTCTATTCAGACATTTGAATGTCTATTCACACATCTGGATGTCTATTCAGACACCTGGATGTCTATTCAGACACCTGGATGTCTATTCAGACACCTGGATGTCTATTCAGACATTTGAATGTCTATTCACACATCTGGATGTCTATTCAGACAGCTGGAGATCTATTCAGACATCTGGATGTCTATTCAGACAGCTGGATGTCTATTCAGACATCTGGATGTCTATTCAGACACCTGGATGTCTATTCAGACACCTGGATGTCTATTCAGACATCTGGATGTCTATTCAGACAGCTGGATGGCTATTCAGACAGCTGGATGTCTATTCAGACATCTGGATGTCTATTCAAACACCTGGATATATATTCAGACATCTGGATGTCTATTCAGACAGCTGGATGTCCATTCAGACATCTGGATGTCTATTCAGACATCTGGATGTCTCATAACCTTCTACATTCAAAAAGCGAATAAAACAGAGGTGTTTGTTTTTGGTGTCGGGGCAAAAAGAGAACACAATTATGCAAACTCTGTAGGTTTCAGGCTTCAATTGCCCCATGAAGCCAAGAACTCTGGGATAATTTTAGATTCTAGGATTACTAGAACTGTCTTTTAAGAAATTGGTAAAACATTATAGAATTTGTGTAATATTTATGCTCCGACTGTCACCTCTTTGCAATGGTTACCTGTAATGTTTAAAGTAGATTTTACGGTTTGTTTTTTTCTTTTCTATTTGTCGTCCCTCATCCTACCAGATCTCATTATCTATACTCAGATTGATGACAGGTTTTCCAGATTTTGTGGTTCCGGTTTATCTGTTATGAAGTGATAGAAAAGCTTTTTAAATGTTTTAAATCATAAAAAAAATTATGTCTATATGTTGGCTTTTTACTTTGAATGTTATTTTAAAATGACACTTAATAGTTTTTCTATTTTTTTTAAGTACTTTAAGAACTTTGTAGTATTGTTTTATAAGGTGCTATACAAACGGTAATGGTAAAGTTTCCAGACATGACGTGTTGTGGATTGGCACTATATAAATAAACAGAGCTGAACTTGTCAACATTGTTTGTTTAAGAGTAAGAATTCTGTTCAGAACTGGATTAGAAATTAAATCTATATCAAGTGAGAGAAACTTTACATTTCAAGAAGCCATCATTTCTCATTCTAGATACGAAAATCTAAAGAAAAACTGTTAAGCATTTTTTAAATGTTTTAATTTTATGAAAAATAAAAGCTTTAATATGGAAAAAAGTAAAGTATAATTTTTCTGAGTAGGGTAATGTTTAGTCTGTGCGTTATTGAGGAAGATATTAGTTTAAATTTGCTTTGGAACTTGACTTGTGGTGCTTGCATAAAACTGTTAAAGTTAGAATTTCATTCTCTGCCTGGTCTGTTTATCATATCTTGGTCAAAGTTATTAAGAGGTAAAGCCACAAATGGCTCTAGAGGTTTAGGTCAAAGATGCCGGCGTCTCATTTTTAAAGTGCATCTGCACCAAAAACATGTGGTTCAATTTTACCATAAAACTCAGGAAGTAAAATAATTAATTTTGTACATATATGTGTGGCAATCTACACAAACGTTTTAATTAACAATAACAAGCTAGTTAGTTTAAGCCTATGGAGCATCAAAACGTGTTTTTTCCATGAGTTTGAGCTTTTATCAATGATGAAATTGAATCGCATCAATCTCATAAAGCTCTGTTACACATCTTAAAATGACAGAAAGACCCTTATTTGGATATAAACTGTAAATATGCCTCCTTTTAGGTCATGGAAATGCTTATTCTTAAAGGGCAGCTTTCATTCTAACAGAAAATGATGAATCCGCAGATGTATTCCATCTGTCCGAAACTGAGGCCAAAAGAGTGAAAAGAAGTTTAAAACTCTGTTCAAACTCTCTGGTCTCCGACATTCATGCAAGGAGGAAAGAAAAAAAAAACCCAAATGCTTAAATCAGAACCTCCTAACTCCAAACAAGCCTTTCTAAAAGCAGCTGATCTGTTTGTTTTTGTTAATTTTTCCGCTCTCTGGCTCTGCCCATTGCCATCCCTCATGTCCTCTGATGCTTCATCTGACATGCCGCCTCCCGGCCGTCCCCCTCCTGACCCGCTTCCTCAGCCTGCACTTCTCATCTGATGATCGTCCTCTTGTGGTGAGGACTGACCGTGTGGATCAGCCTCGGGGAGTCTCTGTCTGGCATCATTATCGCCCACCTGCCATCATCCATCATTAGCTCTGTTACGGAGCTAATGTTTACCCACTGAAAGCAAACTGTGCCCCCCTGTGGTGGAAAATCTCTCACTCTTCTGCTCAGTCTTCTGGTAAAGCAACAAATCATCTGGCTTTGGTTTCTGCTTTAAATATCTGAACTCATCTACGAACGGTGAAGAAAATAAAGACGATATGTTTTGTTGTAGTTGGTACATTCTAAGCGTCCAGAAATCTGGATTAATTTAACGGTTTTAAATGCTTTTTTTTAATTTTTTTATATATATATATTTTTACAATATATAAGAATAAGTCGTTCACTATGTGTGCGCAAATTAACACTAAGGCTGTGGTTCCCAAACTTTTAGCTTGGGGCTCAATTTATAACAATGAAAGACCGTAAATCAACCGCTGCATTCAAATAGCATCAATACTAAATTCATATTTCTAAACCTCTCTAAGCACCCATTCCCACTATTACAGCCTAAATATGCCTTTTATAACATCATTCATTAATTGTTTTTTTTAAGGCACCGAATATATAGTTGGACCATACAGGCCATGTTTTTAGTGAGACAGAGCGTAGAGCTGTTCAGCAGAGCGCTCCAGCCGAGCCCGGTACTCCAACTTGGAATAGTTGCATTTAGGAACCCCCTCGGTGCCGTAAAGAAGCCCCCAACAGCAGCAGGCGATCACTGCAGTGCTGTCGCTGTCGCCTGGACAGAATCACAGACATATATCAATCCAGTTCAAGTCCAACATTGTGAGAAAAAATCTAATGTATATCACAAAAAAAATAAATAAATCAAAAACAAAATTCCTGCTGGCACTGATTTAATTTAAGTTTCCATCTTCTAACAAATACAAACAGTTCATTTCCCAGGTTATAATAAAACATACAGCTAATAAGAAAAAAAAAGGTTGGAACTCAACGTTAGAATAAAACTGTACATACAGGCTCAAACACACACGCTATTATGAAGATTAAAGTCCTTTAACTGCCTTTGATGTCCTCATCTCATTTCAAACTCCTATAAAGAAATAACACTGATAAAATACTGTTGAAATAAATGTCCCAAAACTGAAAAAATAGAACAATGGTTAAAGTCTAGCTAAAAAAGCACTTTCAGGCCACTATATTACATAAACTTACTACATAAACTGACACCTGTTCCTCCAGGGTTTATACAGGAATGAACTCTAATTTAATGCTTTTTAATGCTCTTTTAATGTTCTTAGAAAGTACCCATAACTCTCATATATATATATATATATATATATATATATATATATATATATATATATATATATATATATATATATATAACATGTAAAAATCCTCCCTCATCTTTACCATCGACAGGCTGCAGCTATGTCCCGTATTCCTTGTTTTCCAGCCACTTATTTTGAAATTTGAATTGTTCCATTCCCTAGCCTTTTCTCCACCTTGAGCTTCTTTTCCAAATATATGGCTTTATGATCAACCGGAAGCAGTTCTGCGCAAACATGGAACATCTTATATCCGATGAAATTGTTTTTATAGATTTTTTTTAATAAACTATTGTAAATGCCACAATAATCACTTTTAATGAATTTTAATGCCAATTAAGGCTTTAATTGAAAACATAATAATTTAATATATTTTAATGTTTTTTAATGACCTGCGGAAACCCTGTGTTACAATGGCTGAAAATACAGGCAGCTATAGAGAATGTGACGTTTCCTCGGAATCGTCTGTCACAATCAGAGAGACGAAGTACTGTCATCAGATAGCAGAGCACAGCTTTAGGGCACGGAGGTGTTTTTATCTTTAAAGTACATCTTCATCCTTCAGTAAATACATCTACATGCTGTGGTCACACCTCAGTGAAACAATTGATGACATATATGAGAAACTGGCTTCTGTTGGAGCTTCTATAGTTATCTGTGGATGAAATAAACATAATTTGGGACTGGTCTCTTATTTTGGATTTTTCATTAGTAACCATAAGTACTGATATCTCAGGTTACTTGTGCGACAAGGATCCATTCTTACCTGCTGAGCCCATCCGTCTGGTGACAGACAGATGAGCTTTTAACATTAGATCCACTAAATTAAGGTAAATCTGGAAAATATCAGCCTCTCTGACTTAACTTCTCCAGTGAATTTAGATGCTTCTTGTTTGAGACAGAATGCTAAAAAAAATACAGAAACCATAACATGCTGTTCTTGGTGGGACCAGCCCATCTGTAGAGTGACCTGTTATTTCTATAGCTCTGCTCCAGGCAGCGATTATCCTCTTTACTTGAGAAAAGTCATATAAACTAGTGTCTCAGTATTCCTACAAAAAAGCAGCAGTTTAACAGGATTAACAGTTTTTGAGCAACCTGAGCTGATTATAACTGAAGTTTTAACAATGAAGGATCACTGAGTTCCCTCTTTGCGACACTTCCAGTCGACTTCTGATTGTCAAATTTTAACAAAAAAATACGTCCATTTTGGCTCAGAGATGTCTTTATTGCATCTTTGCGTATAAAATAGTTTGTAATATTAATATACTTTGCTTACTTTTTTTGTCACATAAACTTCAGAAAGATAAAATAAAAAATCTGCTTTTCAGCTATCAGCATGCTTATTTAATGTAAAGAACAGTTTTGATATATGTTAAGGATCTTTATCCTTCCTCAAACACCCATTTGTGTTAAAACTGCCTGACTTAAGCTATTCTTTTAGACCAGGAGTCACCAACATGGTGCCCGCGGGCACCAAGGGGCCCTCAAGGACCACAAGGGGTGCCCTTAGAGTCTTCTGAAAATATAACAACTCAACAGTGAGCTACGTTTGAAATTTCATTGTATTCTGTTGCTATTCTTTTTTTAATCAGTTATAGAACATTTCATCATTTAATCATATATGGAATTTAAGCATTTATAGAGATTTTAAAATGAAAATGTCTAAAAGAAAATTAGAAATTTAAAGAAACGATAAAGATATGTTTATAATGTATAAGGTTTAGGTTAACGTTGACCCTTACAATTCATAGGTCAGTATTGGTAGCCCTTCCAGTGACTCTGCCCCTGAATTAGCCCTCAACTGTAAAAAGGTTGGTGACCGCTGTTTTAGACAAAAAAAAAAAAAAAAAAAAAACAGGAACCAGCAACTTCAGCTGAGCATAAACCTGATGCATTAACTCCAGGATCATCATCAGTGAAATGTTTTCTACCTGCTGAGCTCCAAAAATGAACCCCTCCAGCTGCTGCCTGCATGGATTGGTCAAATCTCAGCTGATCAGACCGACTCTACAACCAGCAACCCTGATCTACAAAGAGCTGCATGCTACGCAAAAAGATATAAAGCATCAATTTAAGCTTTATCGCGTTTGCTTTAAAAGGTCTGAAGTTTCCCTTCTTTCATAGAACCGTAAATTATTCCGAGCTTTGCTCTCAAGTCTGGGATTAATACTCAAAAGAGATGAATGAAGCACTGACCTCCATGGAAAGCAGCTCTGTTCATCAGCTCCTCCCAGTCTGAACCAGCGCCCAGCAAAGCGTCTAAAGCTATCATCGGAGCGTCATGGCCACAGCTCCCCCCCCATCCAGACAGGCTGAAGCTCTTATAGGCCTTGTCCCTCTCAGCAACTCCATAGGGGGAGGGCCAGATCACAGGCCCCTCTCCGTTAGAGAGCCCCCTCTCATCCAGGTACCTGAGGAAAGAGGGAAGACTTTACTGATGGTGAAAAATATCTCCAAAAAAATCCAAATGTTTCAACAGTGCAGATAGGTATAAAATCAATGACAGCAACCTCAACACAACAACAAAAGCAAATTGATTTCAGCAGCTCATACCGCTGCCACTTCTCAGTAAAGGTGTCCCATTCCTTCATGTTCTCCTCCACGGCGAAGCCGCTGTCGGTAACAACCTGCTTTGCTATGGGACAGGCCTCTTTGATCAGGCCCAGACCCCAGGAGGCGACTGGCCGCCGCTGGATGGCGTATGAGGCGAAAAGAGCAGAAGCAACAGATCCCAAGTAGCCGATGGGGTGATGATGGGTCATCCTGCCCGTCTCCACGGCAACATGCACAAGAGACGACAGCTGTTCAGGCTTTGGGTACCTAAGGTTTAAAATATGTTAATTATCAAACTTTATTACTAAAAATACTCTATAATGATTCAAAGATATATGATTTCTGTTCTGCTAAAACATTTCATTGATCTCCTGTAGTTTTATATACATATATCTTTTACAAAACAGACTTTAACAATTACAAAAAAAATGTTTAAACCAAAACTAAATGAAAAAAACAGCTAATAAAAATGTTAAAACTATTTCAACTTTCCTCAGTTTTATATATATATGATTTTTTTCTGTACCGCCGACTTTTAGTATGAAAGCTTTGCTTTCCTTTATGCACAAGTTCCCATAGTGCTGAAACTAAATTAAATGGTGATGAAAAAAGCGTTATTTAAGGTTGCACATGTTTACATTTTTTTTAACATGATTTCATTTTTCATGTACCAAAAACACAGCATTTTAACAAAGGTGAGCAGAGTAAAATGAATCCAGCAGAACGTCCACACAGAGAGCCACAGGAGTACTTCAATAAGTTTGTCCTTTAATTTCACATATCTAAGCTTCAAATTGTTTTATAAAGAAGGTTAAAACATCTGGATGCATTTTCTCCACCTAATGTCACAGATTTTCAGCCAGTTTTAGCTCTATTATAAGGGATGAACCCAGAAGAACATAGAGACTATAAATAAAAATGGAGAAAATAAGACATTTAAGGTAATATTCCAAGTTTTCTTAAATAAATAAACTAAACCCTGGAAGAACCATCCATCATTAACTAAGAGGAGCCTTGTTCCCAGGATGGATTTGACACTTTGGCACAAAATGTTTAGCAGTATGTGAACGGAGGACTTCAGCTCAGCTGGGTTAATCATTCTGTGTGGGAAAACAATACTTAAATAGCTTAACTTTTAACAGCTTAGGTCCAAATGTCCCAGAGGAAGTGGCTTACCTTAGACCGATGCACATGGACCTCATGGCTGCTCCACAGCCTGCACCCCTGGGGTTATATGGCACCCTGTAGCCCTCTTCCTTCCCAGGCCTCAGCTTGTGAACACCTGTGAGTGCATCACACTTTCAAACATCTCTGCTAAATGTAGACCTGATTATAAATTCAAAATGAAAACCTACTAAACATGGTTGTGTTTCCAGGTGCCCTCCCGTTCATGTCTTTCATCCCCTTCACATAATGAAAAGCCACCTCATGCAGAAGCTCCTCCCCTGTCTTGTCTGCAAGGAAAGCAACACTTTGTTCAATCGTCGGACTTTAAAAGATTCAATTATCAGTGCACGAAGATGGTATTATCACAGAAAAGGTCAAGCTCAATTTCCTGCCTCCGTTGTTTCCTTGCGGATCCTAATAGGAAAGCAAATCAAGGCAAGGCTGGAAATTAGATTTAACCTTTAGCTGGCGCTTTAGAGAAGGGGCGGCTAATATTAATCAGACGGAGCGCTTGTTATGCTGAACTCACCGGTTACCAGAGCTTCAGCCGTTGCAAGATGCAGAACTGTGTCGTCACTCAGTGGCCACTCAGGGAGAGTCACCTTGATTTTTTCCAAACCACCGAGCTTCTGCAGCTCCTACAGTTCCAGAAAATGAGAGAAATTAACAAAAAAACATTTTCAAAAATTGATTGTCATTATTCCATCTGATATACTTTCAAATGCTGTTTTCACAAGTTTTCACACAGCTGTTGTATTTTATTGCTTAGCTGTTCTAGTTAAAAAGTTCAACTGTAACATCATTAGTTCAACTTTTTTTATTTCCTTTAGTCCAACTGTTTTTAATATTTGTTTCTGCGTTTTTATTAATTTTTTTTCCTACTTGCATTGATTTGGTTTTATTTTCCCAAATTTTAATCATGTAAAGCACTTTGCATTGTCTTTGTACTGAATTATGCTATACAAATAAATTTGCATTGCCTTGCCTTAATCTGTGGTTTTACACTCTAGTCTCTGGATGTCTAATAAGACATCAGGTTACTGATGATCAGAGGAGCAGAAGGTATAATTCAGGAAAATTCATGATTCTTTGTAGTGTTGTGTGTATAATGTGGTAACATAGAATAGAATAGAATAGAATAGAATAGAAAATCCCTTTATTGTCCCACAATGGAGAAACTGTGGTGTTACAGCAGCAAAAGGTTGTAGCAGAAGTTGTCACAAAATGTGGACCTTAGAAAGTGTATAAAAATTACAGAATAAGCAACAGAGTTAAGAAAATTAACAAATAAGTACTTTACTGTTCAGTGTTTTACAGTATAAATGCTCTATATCTGGAGAGTAAATAATCAATAAACAGCTGTGGACATTTTTTTTACAGTAATTGATATATGAAAAATAACAGCAACACCGGAGATGTGCAAAAAAATGACAGCAGCATGTTATTTAACTGCACAGAACCTGTGAAAAACTTATTGAGGTTGTTGGGAACAGTGATGGTTATAAAGTCTTACAGCTGCTGGGAGGAAGGATCTATTATAACGCTGCCTGGTGCATCTAGGATGCAGCAGTCTGTCACTGAAGGAGCTTTCCAGTTCAGCAACAGCTTCATGCATGCAGTGCAAGAGATTGTCTAACAGAGATGTTTTTCTAGTTAGGGTCCAGAGGGCATCCAATCACAGAGGTAGCCTAAAACAAGTATAACTGAAGAAAAACCTAAAAAAAAAATTTTTTCTTCAAAATTGTTAAAAAAAAACTAAAAACATGAACTAGTCATGGAGTCGCTGAAGAGGCTGCAACTACAGATTATGTAATGGATGCTCTAGAATCCCCCCTACAAAAGAAAAAAAAAAACTTTCACTCTATTTTTCTTCCAAGAAATCACAGAAGCTTAACTTACAAGGTTCCATTTGTGCCAAATCAAGATTCGTATTTGTTTAGACGTCTCTGTGACTATTCAAGATATGTAACTTAGCTGCTTAAGTAATGCAAGCTGTATATTAGCGTTAGCTCGCCACCCTTTCAGCAGAAGTGCTTTAATTAAGACAGTTCCCCTCTGAAAAGGGGAAGCGTTAAAGTGCAGCGGAAAAAGTTCACAACTGCCAGATAATCTTCTTTTTTTAAATGTACTAATATTCTTCCACGTCATAAATATGAATCATCACAGGCAGAGATTATTAGCAGATGAAAGATTCAGGAATAACATCCATTCAGTGGAGAGGTGTTCTTAGAGCAGCAAAAGCCCTACAAGCTATTTGGAGGTTGGTTATAATGTTGGGCTTCATTAGGAAGGCAGATATATTTAATTAAAGATTGACACGCAGTTGAAAAACAGGAACATTGGAATCACTGTGGTGTTGCAGCACTGACCGAGTGAATGTCCGGTCCAGAAAAATTGAACTCCCAGCTCCCATTTCTGTAGCCCAGAGCATCACCAGCACCACTCAGCACCATGGCTGCCTTGTAATGCTCCAAAGTAACTGCTTCGGGTCTCCTGGTGCAAAGAGATTTAACACAACAGGTTTTATTTCAGGCAGGTTCTTGAATCATAAGTGCAGATGATGGAATCTTAGTAGTAGCACGTTTCCAATCTGGCCCTGGGCTTTATGTATAATTAGATAATTTAGTGTCACAAATAGTTCATATATAACTGAAGTAGCTCTAATGAGATAATTAGATAAATAATCCTTTAAAATTGTCCCCCTTTACCTTTACATAAAGAGTTCAACTGGTAGAACCTAAATTATTATTATCACAGGATTTAAATATAGCTGAAATGTTTTATCATAAATCTAAGCTTCAAACAATCGGCTGGATTACTAAAAAAAAAAAGGTTTTTCTAATCTATCAATTTGTAGTATATCATCATCATAAACCAATGTGTTTGTTTTTTAAGTGATATCTCTGTATCTTTATTTATTTTTTCTGTAGAGGATCCCAAGACCCTATAATTCATGATGGGACCACGACCCCTTCTTTAGGAATCAATGGTCTCAGGATCTAGACTGAAAAGCCAACCCATATATCATGGAATACGGTAGTAACACTGGCTTAGATCTTTCAAAGTAAAAGCAATATGTGTTAGGTTTATTAACTGCACTCAAATGACATTAATCTTGCTCCTTTGGTCTGAAATATATTATATGTGCTCCTGTGAATGTTTAAGATTGTTAAAATGTATTATTCTTTGGAATATTAGAGGATGGCAGCCAAACAATTAATCTGACAAACAGCCAAACATTCCTATGCATCTGTTACACGTGGAAGAAGAAGGGGTCTTCACTGTGCATATTTAATTTTTATTGATTTTTCTGTGAAAACATGAACAACAACATCAGTTCACTTTTGCTATGTCTCATCTCTGATCACGCTGTCTGACGTCTTACTCGCTCCACAACTGCACGCGCCAGCAGCGGATACCTGAGAGACGCAGCGCCCCCTGCTGATCGGATGTTTTCAGTCACACGCATACATAACATGAGTCAAAAATAAAAAATATAATTGGGGGTACACTGTAAATTGTCTTTGCAATCACACATCCAGTCTCATCAACACTTTCCAACCTTTGCATAGATCTTTAAACACAGAACAAAGAGCAGAGGACAACATTATTTTTAGATTCTTCATAAATAATCTATCCTCCTAGGTCTGGGCACCAAATCTGCTGAAGGGGAACCTACCCCCAGGCCCAGGTGGAAATAGATAAAAGTGACCAAAAATATGAGATTTTGAAGGGGCTTTCATTTTTAAATCCCTCATTAGATACTGATGACTTTAATGTGCAACAATCTAAAAGTGTTCACTGGAAACAGTTTTAATTTAAGAAATATTGAAAATAATTAGGCATTCTGACACTATCAGTGCACAATTAAATAAGATAGAGCAGAGACTACAATAAAAAAAGAATAATTTTCATACATTCATATTCACAGGAGAGAATATAAATTAATTTATATAACAGGTGAGCAAGAATGATGTCAACTAAATGTAGGTAATGAACAGGAAAAATTTGCTTTTACTTTGAAAGGTCCGGGCCAGCTTTACCGTATTCCATGATGTAAGCGTGACCTAAAAACCCAACGAGGGCTGGCTGGCTTGACTTCGGTTTTAAAATGTCCCTAACGGCCGATTATCCTAATTTCGCTCAAAGGAGGCCGTGTTATGATTAATATTCAGTCGGAATGTATGTAGTCAAGCTCAGAACAGTTGTAGAGATGCTGATAGACGATTTACTTGGGAAACATGCATTGCGGAACTAAACAGAACAGAAAAATCTTCAACTTTACCAAACGCCGAGGACGTAAACCTACTACAAAAAATACAGTTGATGTTCAAATGTTACACTGAGACAATATTAATATCTAATACACTGATTAAAACTCCTTACTTGTCCATTGCAGCAATGTCGCGTTAGGCTCCTTCCTCTCCTGTTTATTTTGGTGTGGCTGAACACTGACGGTTATGTGAAACAGCGCCTCCCTTCGGTCAAATGAGCGCTACCTATTAAAGACCAGTAACGGTGTATAAGGTACATTACGGTAACAGAGCAGTTCGGGAGCCATTACTTCTGACAAAAGCTTAGAAATTAAGAGGATAACAGAAAATTAATCTTGGGAACATTTTTATTCATGAGAAAATTACAACTCTCTATGGAAGCCCGTTTCCGCCACATAAAAGTACATAATGCCAAATAGAAATTCATAACTATGAGATTCAAAAGTCATAATTATGATATTCGATTTTGAAATGTTGTATAACATAGTCATTATTTTGAAAGTCGAAAATGTGACTTTGAATCTCATCATTATGACTTTTTTTTTTTACTTTCATGTGGTGGAAACAGGCTTCCATATCTTTCATGTTCATGTTTATAAAGAATTTAAAAAATTTAAAAAAGAGAGATAAAAGAAAGGCATTTTTAATGTAGAATTTATTTGAGAAGTAACAGGGAAAATACCCTAAATCTTAACCGTTGTACAGAGGCGTAGCCAGAAAATTTTTATAAGGGTGGCCAGGCAATAACCAATGTACACTTAGGGGGGGTCGAAAGCGGACAAGCACCAGAACCTCAGGGTCAATCTACACTGTTCCAAAAGAAAAATGAACAAGCAAAAATCCCATATTTTCTAAATATATAATACCGGTATAATAAAGACAAGCTATACTTTCCTACAGCCTTTGCTAACAAATAGATGCATATATTTAAACTTCTGTAATTTCTAGATAATAGGTACAGTGGATAAAACTCTTTCAGTTTTGAGTTTTGGGGCGTAAATCTTTTCCAATGCCAAAACTTGTATCAGTAAACATTCTGCATATAATTAATATTTACAAGCACTAATATCTACATAAATTGATTATTTGATAAGTTTTTATTAAAATTGTTATTTATCTTTAATTTCACTGAAGACTCCCAGATGAATTGCAATGACACATGATTTTCCCTTTACCCCATATAACAGCAGATCTAGTTCTGAACAGAGCATGAATACTTATCATCTTTGATGTTAGTATATTGATGTTTATAACTAACCACAAAAAGATAAAATGTTTTGAATATTTCACTTGAGAGTATTACTGCTGCCACCATCTGTATTAGAGGGGAAAAAATGGTAGGGGTGGCAAATGATTGGCTTAGGGTGGCCATTGCCCCTGGCCCCCCATCTAGCTCCACCCCTGCCGTTGTGTACTTTTTTGTCACTATCGATATTTTTTTTATCCAAAATCACAAGAGGTGACACAATGTCTTTGATGAAGGTACTTTTTATCAGTTTGATTAAACGGTATAATTCAACATGGAAAAAACAGAAAAACGGCCGTTTTATCCTTTTTCTCCTCAGAAAACGATTCGTTTTCCCTTTTTGTGTTTCTGC